AGTGTATTTTGATGATGTTATGCGATTGACATGCAATTCTATCATAGACATTCATTGCTCCAGAGATGAATGTATTTTTGAGCTCAAACAAATTCGTGGGAAATGTGCACTAGCAATCTGAACCTTTCCAAGTGTATATGTTTTAGTCTTTCATGGGCTAAAAACATATTTAAATCTAAAACCTATCAAATGAAGCATCATTAGTCTTCAGAGTTCCAGAGGGGAACAGTACTCCTAGTTTTAATCACACTCGAGAACAACTTACAACAACGCAACATTTGAGCATTTGAAGGGAGGATCGGGGTCTTTCTCACACCCCTGTTCTCCGCTTGCCACCTAAGGTCTGGAGCCTGGAGGAAGGGTGAGCCACCTCTAATCTAATCTATGACGATCAGGCCATTAGTATCCTATAGAGAGGTTTGTTGTGCAAATACAGAATTTTCAAACTAACTTTGCTACTTTAATATTAAAATCTTTGTAATGAAGCTAAATGATTATTTTTTACTGATCAGGGGCTACATATGGAATGATTAAATATGATGTACTCCCGCTAAAATTCAGTTTAACTCATTTCTCTCTCTTTTCTCTGAGACACAAAAGCAGATGTGAAATGAACATAGAAGCCTGAAATTTGATTTTTCCAAAAAAAGAGAATCAAGCCAAATGATCAAATTATTGAGTCATATCTGTGGATCAGAACATCGTCTCTGTGTCATTCTGACAGTTTCAATGATAAGGGAAGATATGAAGGGCTCCATTCAATATGAAAAATGGGGAATGATTGAAATGAATACAGTAGAAATGGACTTCGTTAACAGTGAGGCAAAAAAGGAAACACAGGAGATGGATGCAGCAGAGAGGAGATGTTTCTATTCATCTGCCCACGGTTCATAACAAATCTTTATGAGGACCCAGCAATAAAGCAGAATAAATCTAACATGTTTAAGGTTCGTTCGATTTGTAAAAAACGGTATTTTTGTTATTGTGTGTATGGGTGAGGTGTTTGTGTTCAGAGTTGAGGAACAATAACAACACGTCATCCATCAGGGTCTCTCACCTGGCATCTTCAGCGCCCTATGAACAAGTGTTTATAAAGGCTAGAGAAGCAGAGTTAAAAAAACAGATTGAAATAAAAAACTTAAATAGAAGAACTGTTTTTCTGCAATAAATCTCCCATTTTGCTTATATATATCCAGGCCACCAGGTTCCAGGACAGTAAGAGGAAAAACGTACACAGCCTGTCATAGAAAGCTATACCTTACTTAGGACATTTAGACTGAGAACATTTTCAAAGTGTTCTATACATATGATAACACAAATAAACAGTTATTAACTTTTCATTATGATTTATAGGCACCTTGTTCGAGCCTTTTTTGTTTGTTCTGTTCTGTTACAACTTATTAACACTAGAGGGAGCCAAAGCACTACCTGTCACTGTATCCTAACCCAGTGTAACATGACTGATGGAATGTTGTAGTTCTAACCTGATAGAAGGAGATCTTAACTGCTGAAAGTTGGTTTTAACACATCTTGGCCACTGGGTGGTTTCATGAGCAAATAGAGCTCCAACAAATTATCACTTTGCTGTAGTAACTGTCTACAGTGGTTCATTGTCTCATGAGGCTTCATCTCACATCATCCCTGTACAAGCTATTTGTAATTTTTCCTATACTTTAGAGATGAAAGTAGGAGATTCTAGAAACCAGTTTAATATAATACTTAGTACCAGTGCTACAATTGTTTAAACACCTTTTTTTTCAGGTGTTTTCTCTAAGGCCCTAAAAACTGCATTGATCAAACAGCTGTTGGAAAAGAACAAGTTGGACAAGCTGCTCCTGCAGAATTATAGGCCCATCTCAAACTTCCCAACATTTATTCGCTTTCCTAACAATGACCTGCTCCCGCATCATTCAGTCAGACTTCTATGCTAACAACAGAACAGCCTTTTTAAGGTGTTTTAGTGACATCTGCTTAAATTCACAATGTGAAAGAACCACATTAATGGTATTATTGGACCTCAGGGCAGCATTTCACACTGTTGATCACTTGCCTTTATTAGAGCGCCTAGAAAAGTTGGCACCAAACTGGACTGGCTTAAATCCTACTTGAAGGACAGTAATTTTTTATTGATGGGTGTCAGGTTGTGGAGGTTTTAGAGGACCTAGAGGAGAAATAAGGAAGAAATAAGTTTAGCTGATTTAATTGAGGTTCCAGAGGCAAAAATCCAAGCCCCCCAAAATGAAAAAAAAAAATAAAATAAAATAACAGGAGATGCCAGGGAGAAAAAAGGGAAGCAAGCAATGAAGCAACAAAGAAACCAGCAAAGACAAATTACAGAGGTGGTGTATATATGGGAAACAGAACAAAAAAAGGGAAAAGGAGCTGATAAGAAAGATAGATAGATAGATAGATAGATAGATAGATAGATAGATAGATAGATAGATAGATAGATAGATAGATAGATAGATAGATAGATAGATAGATAGATAGATAGATAGATAGATAGATAGATAGATAGATAGATAGATAGATAGATAGATAGATAGATAGATAGATAGATAGATAGATAGATAGATAGATAGATAGATAGATAGATAGATAGATATATATATATATATATATATATATATATATATATATATATATATATATAAATATATATATATAAAAAGGAAATTCAGTAACTGGTTGCAACATGGAGCACTGTAAGACTGGAAGAACAAGGTGGTGACTGGAACATTATGAAACTGCAGAATATGGAATTCAGCCACAGCAGGAAGCTCTAATTGTTTTTAGTATCACTGCTCTGCTATAATTATTAGGTTATAGGTTGTTTCCTTCTTCCAAAGGTCTTACTTCATCATGTAGGAAGAATGTTAGCAGGAAGCAGTTTGAATCAAAGGACTTCTTCAGAGTTATTTTAAGATCAGTTTATTTTAAACCTGGGAGTAAATAATTCCTAATCAGAGCTGGTAATCACTGAAAGAATTAGATTAGAGTGAAAAGTCAAACAACAGAAGAGAGTTTAGCCTTAAAATCTAGAAGTTACATAATTCACTAAGTACAACAAAGTCCTTACTGACTCTGTGAAACTCAGAGAGAAAATAGAAAATATTTCTTTAAGTCTATAAATCTCCATCTCCAGAATTAAGCATATAGAAGCAGAATTCAGTTGCATCAGTTATCTGGATCAAACTCCCAGAAGACTGAAAAGATGCTGAAACCCTGAAAATAAGATGTTTTAATTTTTGCTTTTAATTATTCATTTTAAACTGTTATCTCAAACATCAGGGTTTTAGTCCATTGTCTAAATTTTCCTAAACCTGACAGTAAAATGTTCTCATGGGAATCCTAACAATAGAGCGTAGCAGTTCACAGTGATAGACCGACCCCAGATAAACCCAGGCTGAGTCGGCTGAGCAGGTCCTTCTTCACCTGGGAGGAAAAAAATGATTTTATGTTAATCTACTGCAAACAACTGCACTTTATTTGTTCAGCTTGTAATTCAAATGTTCTCTCTAGAAATAAACCTGCTTTGATGGTTAAAGAATCAATGACCAATGATTTTATGACTTAGAGTATTTTGTTATAACAGATCCGTTGTTCTAGATCATCACAGCTCATTGGTTATTTAATTAAATATATAATTTAATTTTTATAGTGATTTAGTTTGATATTTTATTAGCTTATTTAATTTAGTTAAATGTTAATTTTCTCATGTTTGTAAACTCTTTTTATTAAACAGCTCTCTCTTTAAAAAAACATCTAGGATTTAATGGAGATTACATGTAGAAATAGAATAAAAGGAACTATCATTACAAAAACATCATATGTCATTTAAACTGGTGGATTAGCTGTCATGGAAACACCTGATTCACCAGTGATGACATGTCACGTGAAACCACTTCTGGATTTTTTTTTTTATAATTATGTAGAACGAGGAAAACCACAGACACACGTGAGAATTAAAAATAGCTTCGATGTGGAAACTCTTCTTCAGGTTGGTGACATCAGCAGTTTGGACTCTGCAGCTAATGCGTTCCTTGAGGCTAATATTTGACTCAGCAATAAATGTAGAACAATCTGAAGCTTCAACCTCAGTTTATTTTAAAGTAACATTACAGTATTCTTTTGTGTCCTCCTCTTGTCCTCTGTCCTCATCTCATCCCGTCCTCATCTTGTCCTCTGTCCAAGTCATCTTTAAGGCCTTTCTCATTGTCATTATTCGATCACCTGCTTCACTCCTACAGGTAAATGAGAAAAAAGGGTGAAGTCAAAAGAAGGAACACATTGAAGTTTAGAGATGTTTTTCATCTAAGACAAAAACACAACCTGATTATAAACTCTGGATTTCCACATCTGCATTTTGACAGCTTTTTTCCTGTTACCCTTCATTGTTTCCAACCAAAGTAAATTAAATGTTGAAGAAAACCTTTAAAGGGTTTAATTCATATATGACGGCAAATTGTTAAGATTTTTCTGTCAGGAGAAACAATAAACCTGTCATGTTGAGTTAAAAATACCTTTAATAATGTTTCCTGTTTATGTAATGATGTCATTTATTAACGAGATACAAGAGCTTTAGAGACTAAATATTTACACAACAGGCTGAAAACGGTAGCTCTCCTCAGGGTTTTGTTTTTCTTACTACGCTAACATGAGGGTTGATAGTTTCAGGCACGAGCAGAGAACCAGCATTCAGACTGTTTGTATAAACAGTTCAGCAGATGATGAAGCATCAGGTGAAGTCATCCTCCTACTTCTAGATCATCATACAGCTGATCATCATCTATGCACAGAAACCCAGACCTCTCTATGCTGCTGGTTATTAGACCTGATCTATAGAATGGAGACCAAAACTGACCCTATCTTATTTTATTTTTTTAAACAAATACTTTTTCAACTAACCTGCCCCTGCAGCTTCAAAATGAGCTTGATCTTGAGCTGAGAAAACAACTTTGATAAAAACTGAAGCAATTTATATTATAAATTTTAACAAATCCTGTTTTATTTTCCATTTTTAAGTATCAAAGACATAAAGCGTATGATTTCTGAAAGGATAAGAAATCCACACAAATTTCGAAGAGATAAACTTAGTTATAATAAATTTCCAGTAAGTAGAATAATGTAAAAAAAAAAAATAATAATTAAGATCAAAACTACAACGGGGTATTAGGGCCAGTCTAGATATTTTTTTATTTATTTTGTATTTTTTTTTATTTTGAGAATAAAGTTGTAGCATTACGAGAACAAAGTCACAATATTTCGAGAATGAAGTCATCATTCAACAACCCGTTTCACAAAGAAAGCTTCGAGCTCCAACCAGCAGATGATGGCCGACCAGCTCCACCACTTTGACCTACTGCCCAGTTTGATAGTGGTGCTAAAAGATTTCCTTATTTGTCAAACCAGAGTCAAAGTATAACTTCACATGAGGCTCGACATTCCTCATTTTAGGGAAGAAATTTCGTCTTGTAGGGGTTGTAAATACAACTTGTTTTCCGTAATTTTATGCTATTATTCTCTTAATATTACGACTTTATTCCTGTAATTTTATGACTACTCTTGTTGTGACTTTTTCTTGTAAATTACGACATTATTCGCTTAATGTTACGACTTTATACTCGAAATAGAAGAAAAGAATCTCTAGCCTGGCCCTAATACTCCATTATAGAATAAAGCTAATGTAGTTTGTGAAAATAATGTGCAGCAAAATAACACTAAAACCCCTTTATAAATTATACTAAAATATATCTTTCCTTTATTTAGAACTGATTCCAATCTTATTTTTTTAGCATCATTAAGAGCTGCAGCACATAGAAGAGCTATAGACACACATCTGCAGATCCTGGATCAGTAGGAGCTCAGAACTGCTGTCCTGTTATATCAGATCTCTGCTCTACCTCATTACAGACCGAAAACAAAATCTGATCTTCATAAATTCTCTTCTGTGTGGTGAAAATAATGATTGGAGAACTAGAATTTGCTCTGAATTTTTTGAACAAAGCTTTTCTTGTTGTGAACTGAATGTAATGTTTCATTACTGTTATTTAACTAGAGTGTGAATAACAACAATAAAGCAATAAATACTTGATGCTGCTTTGAAGATTTAAGAGGGAAAATAACATCAGGGGTTTTTCCAATCTAGGTAACACATTAAATCAGAGTTTCATTAAAACTTATTCTGTTTTCACTTTCATCAGAGATTAGAAGCTGAAACTGGGGATTGCAGGTCTATACAGGTTAATAAAACATGTGATGAAAAGAACCAACAAAATGCAAAACTATTATCGTGATTTTGCTGTTTGGGGATGTTTTAGTGCCTTAAGGCCTGAGGGAAGTCATGTCCTGGATGGCAGATTTTCAATTAAAGAAATATTGCAATCTTGACTTTGCCTTCTTTTTTACAGGGCTGTCAACTCTCACTCATTGGCAGCGAGACTCATGCATCTCTGTGTCTTCACACGCTCTCACTCCTTTTCCATCCTTTTCTCCATTTTTTTCACGCAAAACAATGACGGACATTAAAACAAAACTCCATTCCACTTATTGATATATAAAAATACAATGCTGATAAAAATCCAGACCACTTTTTCAACACAACCTCAGTGCTAATATACAGGTACATGCCAGGTTTATATCCAGTCCATATTTTAGATCCAGCCCACCTATTAACTGTGCAGCAGCTGAGCTGAGGGACCTTAGCCAGATATTGAAAAAATACTGGGATTTCCTAGCATTTATTACCAGGTATGCCATTTGAATTTTATCTTATCTTATCTGGACTAAGATCATTCACTTTGTAAATTATTGAAGAATTGAAGCAAAGTGCTTGAGTAAATATGAATAAACTATACAGCAGCTGGATTAAATAATCAATGTGGAGACTGAGTGTAGGATCAGATCAAATGGTTTGTTTTCTCTACATCTAGAGCTGTTTCTGTAATCAAGCTTTATTCCTTGTTTTCTCTAATTTAGCCTCCTGATTTAGTTCTTAGATTTAGTCCATGTTTTGCTCACAAGTAAAATAATTATTGCTCAGTCTAGTTGAATAATCACCTGTTGGATTTTAGGAATAATTAAACCAACAACAAACTAAACTAAATTCTTAAAGCTTTCAGACATGCCTCACAAACCCGTAGGAGATCCACAACAGAAAAGAACTGTTGCTTTTTATTTTTCACTTGTGTAAACAAAATTACAAAATCTATCTAAAGTCTAAATATGTTTATAAACCTAATTTTCTTTACATTTCCCAAAATGAAAGTGCTGTCTTGTGTCATAGTGAGTTTTTATAGAATCTACCGCCTCAAAGAAGGTCTGAATTGTCAATTGTAAAAATTTTATAAGAGTAAGATTTTTTATCCTTAGCCTATTACATAATATTCCGACACATTGTAGTTTGCACGGTTTCCTTATTAGTGCCAGTAATCCAGTAATAACTAATTTGTTTTGCATTTTATATTTTACTTGATCATGGAATTATTAATAAACACAGTTGTGATATTCTTTACAGTAGATGCAGGTAGGGCCCATACTTTTAGTTAAATTCTCTAAAAATTCCACATTTTGCCGTTTTGTTTCAGTTAAATTCTCTGAAAAACCTACAACCTTTAGCAGCACCTCAGAGCCTTTCAATCTAACCCTGACAAGGGTTCACTGTCCAAACTATTTCAAAATCTCACTCAAAGGTTTGGTGAAAAGTTGGAAGCCCTGTTTTTATTATTATTTATTTTTTAACTATATAACTTTATTTAAATGATTGATTAGAGCATCCAGGCGCTCTAATCAACAAATGTAGCTACATTGTAGCCACAGCTGCTCTGGGGCTCACTGCCAGAAGCCAGGCTACCGTACACAGACCCCCCCCCGGACCCTCTGACCACCATCAGTAAAAGATGCAGGAAAAATGTTCTGCTCTAGGACAGAATGACACAAAAAGCCGCAGCTGGGTTTTAAACCAAGAATCCTTCGGTTGCAAACTCCTTCATCCGATTCCACATGTTTATAAATCTCTGTTTGTAATTAAACTATTTGAAAGAAATAAACTATTCTTTAGATCTATTTAGTCTTTAATACTATACTATACTACTATAATGCTGCATGTAGAAGTTACCTACTGTTGCCATGGTGATGACCATGCCTCTGTTTTAAACACATTTCTTCCTGTTTTAACAATGTCAACAGAAGCATGTGGCTCTGTTGGTGTGGTTTATTATGTGTCTGGCAGAACCACTCAACCCTAAAATAGCTTCAAATCTGCTTCAGTTTAGTGGGATTAAAAGTGTTTAAAATCCTCAATGTGGGTCAAAGTTCAACAGCAGATTGTTGCGCAGGAGAGTCATGTAGAAACATCTGCTGTCACACTAAGGTCAAAGTTCATCCAGATGATATCCCGTTTGTTATGCACACTGGTTGCCAAACAGTTTCGTTGTGATAACCTGTGTCAGTATTTGTTTTCATTATGGCATTAAAATATGAGCTAACAAGGGTCGATTAGATGAACTATCCAGCTGTTACACTGTAGACAATCGTTATGTCAATGCAAGAAGCAACATTTCTCTCCTGTGGACCTGGTGACCTCAGATATGTGATAAAAGTAAATAACAAACCAATATGGTGCCATAAAAACCTAGTTACCTCCTCTACAGACTGCTTCTGGTTTCTGTCACACTTTCATGTTTTCAGATCATCAAACAGCTCATTTATTTACAAAACATAATAACTCAAGGGTTTTTTTTTTTTTATGTTGTTGTTTTTTTTACAAAGTTCCCCTCATCCAAATCAGATGAACATGAGTAAGACAGTGATGAACGAAACTCAAAAGTTCTTTAAAAAAAACAACAAAAAAAACAGACAGACTTATGAAGCATTAAGCGCTGACTGTCATGTTGGATTCAATAAAAAATGTTTGAGTTTGATTAAACATTTTCATGAGCCAAATATAGACTATTGATCCTTTAAAACCTTTAACATAGCTCTATTAAAGGAATATGAGTTGATGACAATAAAATAAATTCAAACTTCTGAATCTGAGGAAAGTCAAAACAAAAAAAGGCCCCAAGGATTATTTCTGATTTTACTGGCTTATAGCGGCTTTAAAAATCCATATGGAAAAAGAAGAAAAGTTATGGTCTTATCTGTCGATCAGGTATTTCTCTTTCTACGATATTTTAATCAGTTCTCTGTTACTGTAGGGTTTGTTTCCTGCATTTTTTTTTTTGGGATCTTATTCTGATCAGCAGTCCCATTGCTGCTCCTGCTAAAACCTGCTCTCTGTCAGCAGAGAATCATCTAGCTGTCCCATTATAACCCTGGGTTTCCTCTACTATCTGATTTTATTGGTGTTTTAATAGAATAATCAATTTATTTTAGTCTTTAAATACACTGGAACATAAAAACCCCTGACCAGGAAACAGAAAGTGGAACTTCAGACTCTGTTAAAGTCCTAATGCTAGAAATAAACAGAGCTAAGCTAAGTGAAATTATCACATTTTAACTGAATAAAAAATCTTCTAAAACTGTCTTTTTTAGCAAAGCTTCATACAGAAGTTAACATCAAACTAAATGTCTCAGAACTTACCCTGAAGCATAAAAAGCAGCAGTTTCAGGTGTCGCTGTAATCACAGCTAGAAGCACTTCCCTTCTGTTAACAACAGGAAATCACCTGTGTGACGTCACTCTTTCTGATTGGCTAGAAACTACATTCTTTCCCTGAGTTATAACCAATGAATGTTATCTCAGGTTTTGGTGATAATTTTCATGATGAAGCTCTTCTGGTTTATTTCTTTGTTTTTTTCCTAACTTACACATACAGTACGATAAATATGTGTTTGTAGGAATAGCTAATGGAATAACGAGTTCAACAACAAGAGAAGAACCACAAAAACAGTCAAATGAGGAAAATAATCTCTGATGTTGAAATATTGGCCAATGTCAGCCTTATGGTCTGATTTCATGCAAAGCAGGACGTGTACAGACTGTATGATTTACGTTTTGTTCTCCATAAGGTCAGCCATTATGGGGATTCACCTCCCCTGAATTATTTTTATAAAAGAATAAGTGGGAGGAGACACTGAGAGGAACTGCAGCATGTTTGGAGTCTGTAGCAACTTTCTGAGGACTTTGGAACTGCATGATAAGCAGAACCAGACATTGTGACCTATGGGACAGACATGGGGGATCTGGAGCAACAAGTCATCTCTATGTCATGTGTTTTTCTTCCCAGCCACTGAACCAGGTGAGTCAAATCTGCAGTGAATGAACCTGTCCGGACAAATACATGACATACTGTAGAGGTGGCTTGTTTTTATTTATCTATTTATTCTGGTGACCCACTAAACAGTGCAGTTTACAGTTATTAATTTAACTGAGACTTAAAGACTGGTGTTTTAGCTTTGGACGCGTTGGAATTCTCTTTATACATAGGCTATATATATCTGCTATGTTTTAGAAAAAAAGTTTAAGTAACTGTATCAGGGATTATTCTGATTTGAGACAAGTTTGGTTCTGTAAATAATTGATTTAGCAAGGTGTCATTATCTGGGAGTCAGCTATATTAAGCAGAAAGGAAAAAAATATATAACTTGGGTTTGTTTTGTACCACTATGCCCGTTGGCTATGACTCATACAGGCGGGGCTATTGCATGTCTTTTAGAGACATGCTCCACTCCTTCTTACAGCAGTTCAGTGACGCTTCACGTACAGTTGACAGAGAGGAACGACGCTCTACGTTCGACAGTAATTTACTCCACGTGCTGCGATGGGAGAGCTGCAGGTTTCCTGTGATCGTTCAACATTTTCTATTTTTATCTTCTGCCTGTTTTTTATCTGGACACCAGTTAAAGGTAAGGATAGGTTCCACTAAATGTGACTGATGGGAAACTGTTCCAGAAAAAATCTTAGTTTTAAAAGAATAACATTAACAGTTTAGGAACTAACGTTATAATACTGTTGAAAGGAATTATTTCAGACTTTGATTTCAGTAATATTTAGTTTTATAATACAATGCTACTTAGATGTTTACTCCATTTCATTAACTTTCAGGCATAATTTTCGTAAGGACCGCTATGGTTTGTGGGGACTGATCTCAGAGGGATGTCCCCACTGATTGGGACAGGCCCCAACCATAAAAGGCAAATTTATTTTATTTTATCTTTCCCCTCATTTACTCAGAACAGGTGCAGCTTTCAGTTTCAATCAGCGCTTTTTTTTTTAATCTCCCGCTGCTCCTAAGCTCCACCTACCGCTGTGACCTCATTGGATCTCTCACTTTGAGATGTAGTGTGATTGGCTATGTTATGTTGAATTTAAACTTAGAAGCTCGGTTGGTTAAAAAAAGAGAGGCCACCAAAAAGCCGTTAGAGCTTTTTCAGCAAAAACAGCAACTGAGTGCCGCTTTTTATCATTATTATACACTAAGTTTGACATAACAGAGTGTTTAACTGTTTACTTCTTTATTAGTTAAAAAAACAAACAAACATTAATTCAGTTCAAATTTCTGTCATTTTCTTATATAACAGGACATTTTCAGACTGCAGAGGTTCTACATATCGAGACCAAATCCAACAAATCCTATTCAGATTTTAATGTCATGCAGAGGTGACTTGAAATAATTTTCTCTGGCATTATTATATTAGCAGATACAGCAGATGTTTTTTAATAGAACACAGAAACAGGGACAGCTGCAGATTTAAACTAATCTAAACTGATTTACTTTAGTATAAAACATAATAAATGTTTCTCCAACTATGTATTTAAAAACACTATATCTGTTTGTCTTTTGTAATTAAATTAAAGCAAACACAGTAGAGTAAAAATCAGTGAATCAATGAATTGGAAAAACAAAAAATCACAACTTATACTGGCTGTTAAAGCACATGTGGGACAAAATTCACAGTTATATTTTGCTGCTTGTGAAGGAGGATAAAAATCACTGAAACAGTTATCCAATTATATCACTTTGTATGTCTGGGAATCATAATTTTCAGTCTTATGTTAGTATTTTTTTATATCTTAATACAGCTATAGATGGACACATAGGAGTGTAAAGGATGTCTTTCTAATTGTAGTTGTAAAAACTAGTGAAGCACTGAAGTTTTTGAGCACTTTCTAAATGAGTAGTGTTGCACCGATACCAGTATCAGGCGGGGCCCCGATCCAGCACAAAAATGGTTGCATCTGTATTGGCGAGTACCAAAAAAATTGGGCACCGATACCATTTTTAGAGCCAAAAGTTTATTCAACTATTGTCTCCCATTCCAGGTAGGCAATAAAAAGTTCTACTGGATTCACTTTGTTTTAGTCTTTTTCCTGCTTCACAAAGGTAGGCAGCAGCTTGGCAAAGCCATGATGGCAATTATTTTACATCCAAGTAGTATGCAGTTCTTCCTATATACAGACACACATCAATTTCAAGCAGATGGTATCAGTATCGGCCGATACTGCACAGCCAGGTATCGGGGAAAAAATGGCATCAGTGCAGCACTATAAATGAGGCACTAACAGGAACCTGTCCATCTATCTATAGCGTCTCTTATCACTGTTGCAGTTTCAACAATAGATAAATAGATGAGATTCACATTTATGTTTGGGCTCACTTTTTGGCAAAACATGAAAACCTAACAAAAGCTTTGAGTCCAGATACAGTAACAAAAGGAGGGTCAGAGTCCTGCATTATGAAGTGTCTCTGATAACTTTCATCAAAAAGCTGCTCTTTTAAATCATTCAGTTAGTCAGCATGTGAATCACAATGACTCAGCGTTTCAGATGGTATTACTCAGCAATAAGCAGAGAAAGACCTGAGTCACATGACAATAAACAGAAATATCAGCTTTAAAATAGCTGAGTCATGGTGAATATATGGATCTGATCTGAAAACAGACAGTGGTGAATTAATGAATAAAAACAGATCAGCATCCAGCTGGGACATTACTGTGGAACATTAATCTGTAAACAGCAATATGAGATTTTATTTTAATATTTTATAAAGAACTAAAAGTAATTCTGTAAATAAAATAATCATCATTTTGAGCATTTATTTATAGACCATGATAGGGGATCAGAGATGAGGTTTATCATGCATGGTCTCCATCTACCTATTACCTCAGTTGACCCTGCTGAGGACAGTTGGTGGAGCATAATTGATCTGACTACTGATATCAATTATGATGACTGATATAAAAAAAATATTTATATATTTAACAAAGGTTTTCTTTTAGATCAAAGTGATAAAAAGTCGTTTGAATCAGTTGCTGAGGCAGGTTGAAGCAAGTAGAGCTTGAGGAGGTTTTATTCTCGCTAATTAGCTTGTCATCAGTTAACATTTCAGCAGGTTTATCATGTTGAAGATGTTGGTTCCTGTTCCTGAAACACATCTAAGGGTTACTGCTTACTGCTCATCTTTCTCTACTTTTGAATCAGGAAGCGCTCAGGGATTTTTTTCTTTGTCTGTTTTGTTTAAACTGGAAAAGCCTTTTGATGAATATCTGTGCCGATCTGCTTATTTTCGAGGAATTCAAATGGAAATCACGACACTATGGAAACTGTAACAGCTTCCTGGAAAAAAATACCTTCCTTGCTGGAAATACTTCCTGGAAGGTTCTCAAATTATGATTGGATTTTTTTTCTAAATTCATCTGACTGACCGAATACAGAAGTTGATGGGTTGAGGAAATGTTCCTGTTGTTACATGATTCATATTTACAAAAACTTCACAAACTTTCCGGTGTTTCCAGGTAACTATCAGCTGATTGCTTCATCTGAACCAATCCTAGCGGCTCCTGGAGATGATGTCATCCTTCCATGTCGGGTGGATCCTTATTGGAACGCTGTGGAGAAGACTGTGGAGTGGTCCAGACCGGACCTGAAGGCCTCAGGCCCACAGAAGCGTGTGGAGTACGTGTACGTGCACCGGTTCAGGAAGATGGACAGAGACATGATGATGGAGACGTACATCCAGAGGACGTCTCTGTCAGAAGGACTGAGACATGGAGACGTGTCTCTGAGGATCCACAACGTGAGCTTGGAGGATAGCGGGAGGTTCAGGTGTTTCATCCCAAACCTGAGCATAGAAGCAGAGGTTCTGCTGGTTGTTGGTGAGGAAACTGCTCCAAACTGCAGGTTCTGGTTGGTTTATTTGGTTCTGGAGAATCTAATGGATCCTGTTGATGTTTCAGACCCAGGCTTTGTTCAAACGACTACAGCAGAGACGGTTCCTCAGAGAACCAGTCCAGCCCCAGAGGAAGAGACCATCAGAACCGGTGAGTCTGCAGGTTGATCCAAAGACCATTCAGCATCTAATAACCAAACTCTGCTTTATTATTGACTTCTTTTATTCTTCATTTTCAGGTGGTCGATACAGGATGATGCTTTTCTTTCCTATTATTATTTTTTTCTTCATCATTTCTCTGAGTTCAGTTTTCGTCTGCAAAGTTAAAAAGAACAAGAAGTAAGTAAGAAAGAATAAAACTCATCAACTCTTCTTCCTCCATCACTCAATTGGTTAAATAATAAAAAAAACTTCTTTCTTTTGCTTTTTAAAGGATTCAGAAGAGTCCCCTGTTTCAGGCATCAACCCAAAAGTTATTCTGCTTTGCTCAAGTGCAGACCTGCATTGATATAGATGGAAGCTCCATGAAGTCTTCTCTCCTGCAGCTTCCTCAGGATTCAGATTCTACCCGGCAGCAGAATCCTGCAGATGGACACAGTCCTCATGATCAGTCAGAGTCATATCGGTGAAACCAGGTGAGTCTGACTCAGCAGCTGGAGGGGGTCATAGGATGATGTCATCAGCTGATAGAGTGCAGTGTTGAATTTCACCTCACATAGATGAGAGACTTTGTTTGACTCTGGACTTTTTTTTTTCTCCTGAAGGTTCTACATGTTTGCTGTCAGACTCTGCAGGAATCCTCCAAAACTTCAGATGTTCTGATGTTTTTATCAAGTGTAGAAATATTTTTTTAATTTCTACACTTTAAATGCTGTTGTAATGCCTTACTGCGGCTGCAGGTGGTTCAGAGAAACACCTCTTTGTTTCTCTCCAATAATTTGCAAAGCAAGGGAGATATGAACATCACCCCTAACATGGAGAAAAATTTGAGGAAAAAAAAGAAGGGGCTAGACTGGGAAAGGGGCCAAAAACAACGATGATGTGGCTGTTAATAGAAGAAAAAGAAAAGACTTTATAGGAAAGTGAACAGTTAAAAAAAAAGATCTGTAGATCAGAATCTGATGAGAAGCTTAAGTACAAAGTACTTTAATTATATTTCCTGACTTTTTAAGTAAATAGGCTGGTTACTATAAGTACATTAATTTATGAATGTAGGTGACAGGTCACTTGCTAATGAACTGTTTTATAAGGAGATGCTGCTGAAAACTGAAGTTTTTCTATTTGAAAACTTTAAGCACTTTAACTGACACTGAATGATTTAAAGTATTTGAACAGACGGATCAGAACATGTCTGATAAAGGAACAGTTTTTATTTTTATTAATAAGTAAAGATGTTTCTCTAAATCAAATGCTGGTTCATTTAAGATTCATGAATTGTTGGTAAATAATCTTTTTGATGTTTCTATAAAGTATGAATAACAAGATAACTTAAAAAAAGCATTTTTTTGTATTTCAATTTTTTTTTACTATTGACTATTTATTAAAATAAAGTGAACTTTAAAATGTTTAAATTATCTTTTGTCTAGTGCTGCTCAATCAGCTCCTTGTGTCTATTACTGTAGTTTATTTTAAGTTTTTTACAGATAAACTTGAAATTGCTAAGGGAGCGTTTTTAAGGCAACCTATTGCTGTTCTATTATAGTCATACTGTTACTATTGCACTACATTTTTATATTGATTCATATGATATGCGCCTATGTCATGATAATCCCATGTTCAGGTAACCAACTTTCCTAATCTGTCTAGACCAGGCATGTCCAACCATAGGTCAGTCTGCATGCTTTAGGTTTATCACATCTGATGCAGATGTATTTCCCAAAGGAACAGCTTTGTGCTCCACTGACCATCTCATTTCTAGAGCTGGTGTATTCAAAAAACAGGACCTGAAAACTGCATACATAGGCTTACACACAAAGTTTTTGATTTATTAGGAACAATGTTGGAGAGAAAATGTGCCGCCTATTACTCCAATTGAACATCTGCACATATTTTGGAGAGAGAGGGAAATTGGTGAGACACAGATAGTGACTGAGGGCAACTGAAGCCAGATTACACCAGTTACTCTCAGGCATTTAATATCCACTTCTGTATAAAGAGGCACCATTTGGAAATGGAAGAATTAGGGAGGAACGCATTTTCAGGGATTATCAGCGTTTTCTTACCCAAAATAATGACCAGTTATCAGCTGATCAGACTCCATAGAGACCCACAGCATCCCTGTTTACAACAGGAGGTTAGTGTGCAATAATTCGTGGTTCTAAAGAAACACAAATGTATATAAACAAGCTGTGGAAATGTAAAATATCTCAATAAATTATAAATGTAAATAATTTACATGTATGATATATTCTTTCCACCTCTGGATTATGGTCCCATCAGTGCTCAGTGGAACATTCAGAAATTTAGAAATCCTTCTGTAACCAAATGCCATCATTACACGCTGAGCAAAAACTGGTTGAAAAAACTCAGGTTTATTCAATGAGGATTATAAAGTTATTGTTTGTGCATATGGAACATTGGAGAAATAAGATGCTTCACTCTGTTTACTGCAAACTGTCATGCAACGGTGGTAGAAAATTGCTGATGTTTGTGCAAGGCTAATCACAGTTATCAGGAGACCACTCTATTCTGTGATTCAATCAGGAGGAGCATTTTGTCCTATGACCTGATCAATTGCCTTGTCAGAAGAACACTCTATTTTGTAACCCACTTCATGTGTTATGATCTGCTAATAAAAAGGCTTCTGCTGAGGAAACCCACCAGAGAGTAGATGTAGCTGAATGTAGCTCTCTCCTTCTGCAGAAGCCGTTAAAAAATCCCTCTTCTGTGTGGACTCAATTTCTCTTTTATGAACCTACATTTTTGAATCTTAAAAAAAAAACATTGAAAAGGTAACGCGTCCAAACGACGTCTGAATTTGGTTGAAAAGTGAGAGGTGAAAAGCCGTTATCTTCCGATAGTTGGAAAAAAGAGGACTGAACAATCACAGCCCAATTTTCAACAAATATTTCTGCATTAAATCAGCACTATGGCGGACCGACCACATTTAGCCTAAAAAACGTCTAAATGACGTCTGGTGTTTTGGGGGTAAGGTTGCAAAGGTCCTAAGAAACCTCTTTAGTTTTATCCATCATGATGTTACTTGAGTGATACCAGAGCAACCTTTTTATAGGCCATCATTTGGTCCTTGCTTCAGGCCCAGTGTATATTAGCAAGCCATTGTCGACTGAAATCTACGGTAGAAGCCATTCAGTGTGGCCCTTCCCAGTCAAATGGCAGCTGAATGGCAGTCCACTTTCCTGCAACACCCAGCAGAATCCCCTCCAACTTCCAGCCACTGAATTGACCCCCTCCTTCCCGTGGGAGTGCATATTTTTTTTACTCTTACTCCATCCTCTCTCTGAATTACAGGGTCTGACCAGGAGATAACGCTCCTCTTTAAATGGTAATGTCCAAAAAACATCAGAGAATATTTTATTACAAAGATTGATGTTTAGAAAGGAATTGTAGGGGACCAGCCAAGGTCCGATCAAAGAAAGTGGGGAAATTTTGAATCACTACCACCGTGAACAATCTAGGGTTTTTCTTTCTGACTGGGAAAAGTACCTGTGGTGTTTCATATTCCAGGTGAATTTACATCAGCCGAAACTAAAATGAAGGCAAACCTTTTGCCTGCAGGAAGGAACAGATGCCACCTGCTAACTAGCAAAGCCTCTCATTGGTGTCTGATCTCCTTTTTCTTCTTGTTTTTAATGCTTTAAACTGGAAATGAGGCAGTGTCCCTGCTTTCAGCCCAACATAAGACTCTGTTGAAACTTTGGTATTATGGATACAGGCATCACTTGATGGTAAAATTTCAAAAAACTAATGAATACATTGCAAGGGTTCTTCAAATGGGAAATTACATCAAGGGGAGATTCTTTTTAATCATTACAGAAATAAAAACAAATCATAATCATCTTCATGTGGTCTGGTCTACCAGACTGACTGACGTCATGGCAAAGTCAGACTGGCTGGCCAGGCTAGAATATCAGAGTATGTCTGATAACTGCAAGTAATATGGAAAACTAAGAAGAATCTGTCTGTGGGTGAATTACTTTCTTATGTGTACATAATGAATTCTTGAAAACATAACCACAGTAATAAAACATAGAAAGAATTTATGTTTTGTACTTTATTTATTGTTTGATTATGAAATCAAGTCATAATTCAAGTTATATTCTGTCTGCTTCTTCTCAGTCAGCTCCATGTGTCTGTTGCCTTGTCCTAAACAGTTACTCACCCTAAAATAAAGTATTTTTTTTTTCAAATAAAATAAAAAAATCAAATGTAAAGGTGCTTTTTTTATGTAATTAAGTGTTGCCCTATTATGGTTAAACTGTGGCTATTGTTCAGGTATAAAACTTTAGCCCTAGTACTCTGTCTAGGCCACGCATGTCCAACTCCAAACAGGGGTCAGTCTCCTGAAGACTTAAGGTTTGTTCCTGCTCCATCACATCTAATGCAGATAAATAGCCCTTAGGACCGACTATGTATTCCTCGTTTGCTTATCATTACAGTTGAACAAAGCATTCCTTTGGTTGCATCTGTTATTTTCCTGACCAACAAGGCAAACATTAAATGGATATCTAATGGCTCTCTTCCTCCGCAGTAACCATATTTGTGGAGTTTAGAATAAACAATTCTCTTATGGACAAGTCTCCTAACCCTAGCTGTGGACATTTATAGCTTCTCTAATGAATTTCTGTTTACCTCTTTTGGTTGGTCGTACCAGACTTTATTTAGTGGTATCAGAGTAAAGGACTAAACACAAGCCACACTTTACCACATTTGTTTTACAAACCCTTTTAAAACCCACATATTGCTTTCCTTCACAGCTACATATTACTACGTGATAATTAACATAGTTGATGTCATGAGACTGTTTTTGCACGCCTCTGTTGACCAACAGTCTTTTTTGCTTAATTTTTACCTTTAAAATCTAAACAATCGAGTTGTTTTGTCTGACTGGAAAATTACCTGTTATGTTTAAAAGTCCTGGGGAATTTTGATATATCAGAGCTCAGATGATATCGAACCTTTTGGCTGCAGGCAGAAACAGATGCCATTATGAGATGACAGTTTGGGGAAGCACCTGAAAAAACCCACCTGCACAATAACAATGCCTCTCATTGATCCCCGCTCTCCTTCCTCTTCCTTTTTTTTCCTATGTTTTTATTTTTTGAACTGTAGATGAGTCCCCAAAGAAAGAACATATAATGATGCCATTGAAGGAAAAGGGATGGCGTAAAAACACAGCTCTAAGCCCCATGCAGTCTGTTATCACACATTGGCATTATGTGTATATGCATCATCTCTTGGTAAAATGTTTTTACTAAACATATTACTTGTCACATCTCTTCAAATGGGGAATTCCACCAAGGGGAGTTACCTTTAATCCTTACAGAAATTAAATTAAAATCAGCTTCCCAGCAGCCTGACAAGTTCTAACCAGTTGCAGTAAACAGTTTGTTGTTGAATAGGTTCCCAAAATCCAGCAGGAAAGAAATCCCTCACCAGACCCCTCATTTGTCTAGTCCAACAGATAATGTATTAAGTAATCCATAGGCTAACTAAAGGATATTAAAGGACTAATCTGTATTTCTATAACAATGGAAATATCTTAAGAAATAAAGTTGTTTAATATAACTCAAGAAAATGTGTTAACAAGCTCTCTAAAATAAAACAAGCTATAAGATCATCCCTATAGATTAATTGATCATACTAAACTGTCATCACTATAATGTTCACATCAGTACGTTATTTCCATTTATTCCTTCTGAGGTGTGATCAAAATCTCTTGGGGTTTTTTGTTTTGTTTCTTTTTTATTTTCATGGAAAAACAAATTATCCAATGAAGTAGTAATAGTTTTACTTTCTTTTTCCTTCAGAATTAACCTGGATTTTTAACTCTGTTACTTTCAGTCTCAATGTGAACCTATAACAAACAGGCATTTGTAGTAAATAAAAATAGAGCTTATTT